CTGCTGAGCGTTTACAGCTTTGTGACTTGGTGTTTCCGTTAGCTACAGGCAAGATAGCACTTTTAGTGGGCAACAACCGCTACCAGCATCATCCCAACCTGATGGCTCCCGTCACGGATGTGTTTGAGCTGAGTCTTCTTCTGGAGCAGCTGGGCTTCCAGGTTGTCTCCCTTCTGGACCTGAACAAGGCTGAGATGGTGACAGCAGTCAGTCGGTTCCTGCAGCTCCTGGGGAAGGGAGTCTACGGTAAGGCAAAACCTGTAAGGCAAAACCTACTGTGCAGGTAGTAGCGGTCGATGCCAGGGAGGAGCAGGCATTTGGCAATTTTCCGAAAAGGTATTGAGTTAGAAGATACTGAACTTTCGTTTAGGCGAGGCAGAGGAGCCCTGTGGCACAGTCTGCAGCAGTGCCAGGCTTGGCAGAAGCCCCCAGGTACATGCCGTTCAGTTTTGGCTAGATTACAGGCAGGCAAAGTAAGTGTTTCTCCATCACGTGGCTCGCCTCCAACTCCAACGGCATGGTCTCATGCTGAGGTTTTGGGGACCCAGCGCTTCTGATGGCAAATGGGAGAAAGTCTGCTGATTTTTCCTTAGGTGAAAAGTTGAGGACATTGACTGTTGATTGTCCCCACTGCACTCCTTTGTGAGGAGAGGAGCTCCTTTTGAGCTGTGACTGCTACAGCCAGCCACGATTTCCTTCTTTCTTCCTGACGGTCTAATTTGAACCTCTGACAGCCTTTTTGCAGAAGTGCATTCCCAGCTGCAGATGGCTTTGAGGTTGAGCTTTGAGCTTATCGCACGCTGTCCTCAGTAGGAAGTGTTCCTTAAACACAAAACCAGCTGGCAGATCTTTTGGGTCTTAAAGCAGATATTCAGATTTGGAGGTGAAAGTAGCTTTGGGGTTTCTGAGGTTCTCCCAGCCTGATGGATACCCTGAAAATGCCTGGCAGATGTTTTGGGGTTTTTTTTGCTTCCACACCTTAGCATGAGGCTTATCTCCGCCACCCTCGCAGCTGCGTGGCATACCAGGGCACTCCGTGAAAGTCAACACAGACCAATTCCAGCCCGGCGCTCAGCGTGAGGTTTGGAGGTTGTGCAATGGACAGGGACATGGCCACACGTGAAACGCTGCAAAACCACCCTGTTCCGGGAAGCACTGACTCGCTCGGGGAGGCTGAGCTGGCGGGGAAGGGCAGTACACGATTGTCGCCATTCCAGCCAAGCACGTCATCTGATGACAGCATATTCATGTGACTTCACTTGCAGCTTCCTTTTGTGGTTGCTCTCTGAAATCCCCTTGCACCTCAGGTTTTACCTCTTTTTCCCAGGCCAGAGTCATCCCTGGGGGGCTGCTCTGCTTTTCCCACGGCGCTGCCGTTCCTACCCTCTGTATCCGTAGCGCGTGAGGACCAAATAGCATTTTGTTCCCAGCGCTTCTGTTGTTTTCATAAGCATTGGAGAGAGAAAAAGATTTGGAAACGGCAAACCTTTCATGCTGTCATGCCTCATTTAAATTTCTAGTGCTTTTCTGCATTCGTGGCCGCTGATCTTTCCTGGCAAAATTGATTTTGTGCACTGGCAGGGAAAACATTAACAGCTGAGTTACTGAACCTTGATAAGCCTCAAGTGTTTGCTAGGCATTGCCTGCTCCGGATGGTGGTTTTCTTTACAGCTTTCTAAACTGAGTGGTCTACTATTATTTGGAGGCAGTGAACCCCAACCGCAGGCTGGTTCCAGCAGCGTGATTGAGTTGAGGATTTTTACCGTAATTGGTGGCATCTAGACTTAATGGTGGGGCGTTGGGTCAGTCTGCCTGCTGATTGCCCCAGGGTTTTTCTATCTGAAGTGTGGTCCCTTTCGCTGTGCTGCATCTTCCAGCATTTCTTCAGCTGTTTTCCTTACAGAAAAATTAAAAGAGCCAGGTGAAGTGCAAATCATTGAAATTAACTTGCCTTGTTAATAAAAACAAACATTTAGAAGAAGCTAACACCTCCTCCTAAACCCTATATATCAGTTTTTTCAAGGCACAAGCTCCAGGATAAACATCTAGAACCGACTGAGGTTTAGGATTCACATAACAGATGCATGGGAAGGCAGTGGTAAGACAGCAGTTCCAGGAACAACCTAGGCAGCTTATTAAAACTACTAAGACCCCAGGGGTGCCTGTGATAGCCAGTCCTGTACATCCACCTCCACAGAGGCATCCCGGTGCTTCCACCTCGTTTTTCTTGCTCAGGGAACCTGGAGGTGCCATCTCCCATGTAGCAACCACCACAGCTGAAGTCCGGAGAGTTTTACGTAGATGTACGGAGCGAAGCAGGGAGGAGAGGGCTGACCGGTAAGAGGCTGTCACTGGGATGAAGTGGGAGACTGGTGTAACACAGACGCACCTGCCAGCATGCCTGAGAAGTGAGATTGGCTGTCTTCTGAAGTTTAACTCTGGTGACGGAAATGCTGGTGCATTCATACATCTTTCTGCTGGTGCAGATGAGAAGGGAGGACACAGCCACGTGGGTTCGTGTTTGAGCACAGTGCTTGTTATTGCTTCTAGAGTTTCATTTAGCTTCAGGATGCTGATAAGAGCTGAAGAAGATGTGTCTGACCTCCATAGGCTGCTGTCTTATTGTGGGGCTGTCTGGATGGCTGGCCCTCCCTTGCGTGTCTTTACTGACCTGTCTGTGATTTACACGTGTACAGGGGTTGGTGTGAAGGGACTTTGGGGTCATCAACACAAGGTGGGGGTTGGTTGTGGCACTCCTTATCAGGTCTTGAAGACTTCCAGGTGTGGAAATGTCCACCTGCTCATCCCAGGGCTGCACCACCCTCCAGGGAAGTCTTTCATCCTGTCAAATGTGACTTTCCATGAGGTGGTGCTTGTTACCCCATGTTGTATGGTCTGCACCAACAAGGAGAGCTGGGCTCTGTTGTCTCTGTAAGTGCCCCTCCAGGAACTGTAGGCTGTTGTTAGACCTCCCTTCAACCCCACATCTCCAGAACATCCCAGCTCAGTTCCTTCCCGCTCTCCTCCCAGGTCCTGGACCCCAACATCTTGGTAGCCTCTGCTTTTTCCAGCTTCTCAACCTTCCTCTTGAACTGAGGACACAGGATCTAATTGGTGTCTACTCGGTGCCAAGGAGAGTGGTGTCAGTTTCCCTGGTGGTCCTGCATCTCGAACGTAGCTCTGTCCCCAGTCAATGCTGGCTCATCTTCAGCATGGTGACCGCTGTGACCCTACGCTTACTGCTCAACCAGTGCTCAGCCCCAGCCAAAATGCTTCCCGGGGTTATCTGCCCCCATGCAGGATTTTATCCTTCCTGCTGTTGAACCTTCTCTGAGATTTCTTAAGCCCACATCAAAAACTGGCTTCATTTTCAGGCAGAGGGATATTGGATGGCTGCACGTTCAAGATGATCCAAAGGCTTCTCTAGTTCACCGTGTGGAGGTAGTGCCTCATCTGGCTGCTTTTCCTCCAGATCTCGTCTTAGAAAAGCTGCAGAGGATTTTCGAATCCCCCAAACATCCCCTGAATGGTCTAATTATGCAACCCTCGGGCGAACGAGGAATCCCCCCAGATGTTATTTTGAGCGTCCTAAAAAGTCCCGAGTCAAAAAAATGTCAGAAATGCAACGAGAGCAGAAAGTTGCGAGTGAAATACTAGGAATAGGCCGTCATGCCTTAATTAAGCTGCATGCTGACATTTCCTGTATTATAGGCAGTGCCCAGAGCTTCCTCTTTTTAATTTGGTACTCGGAAGTTTGTCTCTGATCACCAGTTTTGACTCACAAGATGTGGGAACAGTGTTGAAATGTTAGCTCAGAATTAAAAAGCCCTTTCCTTTTCTAAGCAAATTGTTGACTTTTCTGTTCAGGAGGAGAGATGAAGTCCAGGAGAGGTTTGTAAAGTTGTGCAGCTGATGTGAAACTCGCGTCTTTTTTGATTTGAACGTCTTTATATATAGCACGGGGAGCACTTGGCGCTGCATTCAGGGTGCACAACAAGACCTCGAAAGTTAGAAGGTTTAATGATTGAATGATTCTTTGTGGGCTTTTCTGTAACGTTTCAGTTTTTTACAAGCGTCAGTGACGCTGCCTGGTAACGGATGTCATCACCTCCCTTTCACGTACAGGAGGAGAGGCAGAGGGACAAAAGTCATCAGTGCTCGATGACTTGAGGGGCCAAACCTGAAGTGCCTGCATCTGATTTTTCCAGACAGCTTCCTATTTTATAGTCTTTTATAGTCTCAGAGGAGGTTTTTGTGGCTTTGATTTGCAAGTTATGAAAGTTTAAAACTTCTGCAAATCAGAGCCCACTGTCTCTGGCTGGCGATCCACAAGAAGAGGAACCCAAACCGTGTGGGCACCTGCAAAAACAGCCATTTGAGTAATTTTCCATTGTCCCCCGCAAAGAGAAACCAAAGGTGACTTAAGGCCCTTTTTTACTATGAGATCATGCTTTCCATCCTCCACACGATGAGATCATGCTTTCAGTCCTTCAGCTCCCGCCCCATTCACTGCGTCCCTTGCAGCATCAGACATCAAAGCGAGTGTCTTGCGAACTGCAGGGGCAGGAGCAGTGGAGGGAAAACAGAGGAGTGGGTGGCTTTGGCAGTGAATCTGACTGAAGAATTTCTCCTGCTTTTGCCTCTTAGCCACTTGTTCCTGTTTCTGACCTCTCGTTCTTCACTGTCTCTCAATTGCGGTAGTGCAACTCTTTGCGTCACCTCACGGAGCAATTTTTTTAACCCGTTTCGGTTCCCCAAGCGGGCTTTCACCAGCGTCCCCCAAGCAGTTGCGTCGGTGCTGGGAAGGGGTAGCCAGCCGCTGTGCAGCTTCATTTCAGGAAGCTACAGCCCACATGGGGATCCCCGTGCAGAAGGAAAGCCCTTCATCGAACACAGGGGCTGGAGAAAAGCACCATCTTGGGCCATGCCAAGCTCCTCAACGCTGGCTTTCCAAGCTGGACGTCCCCGTGTTGCCATCTCTTGTGAAGGCAGAAACCATTACTAAGTTTCACGTGCGTAAGAGTAAAACTCGAAACCAAAGTTCTTGTTGGGTGTTGGACTTCCCACCAACACCTGGATGAATCTGACTTCTGTCCCGCCTTACAGGGCTGGTATCTGGCTTGAGGTTGTGGAAGCACGTGGTCCGCGTGTTCTGTACATCTGGAAAATGCATCTGTCTCTATCTCATTTTCCACCAGCTTATACATGTGCAAATACAGGCAGACCTTTGAAAGCTGGAGAGTGTTTGCTATCACCTTATCCATGGCTCGTCTCTCCTCCAAAACTAGGAAGCTGAGGAGCTCCTCATTTAAAAGGCTGTTAATGTGTTTTTATCATGGTAAAATACTTGGTCTTTTGTCACATTCTTGCAAAGAGCTGATGGTTAACCAAAGCTTGTAACAAAGGTGGTATTCAGCCTGGCAGATGCCGAGCTTGGGTGTTGTAGCACAGGTGATTATGGAAACATGTAAAACCAGTGACTTGGGGGTCTCCTGATGAACGGTGCTGGAAACCACAAGTAGAGGAGAGCCTTTCAGGGCTGTTTCCAACTCTGCTGAAGGGAATAGACTGGAAAAAAGTCAAAATTGTGAGGTCAGCGTACCTCCAGTTTCATAGGTATTACTGGTCTAGGTCTGCCCTGCACCACTGTCTCTTCAGGACAGGAGGTGGGACATGGCTGTGGGGAGCTGGTTACAGACCTGCAGGTTTGCATCGTGACTCATCCTCTCCTCTCCCTGTTCTCAGCTATATTCTACTATGCTGGTCACGGGTATGAACATTCGGGGAGGAACTACATGGTCCCCGTTGACGCTCCACAACCCTACGCCCCTGAGAACTGCATCAGCGTGCAGAGGATCCTCCAGAAGATGCAGCAGCAGCAGACGGCCCTGAACCTCATCCTGCTGGACACCTGCAGGAAATGGTACAGTGCTCTTCCCCCTTCCTTGCCCAGGATGGAGAGAATGGTGTTTCAAGGGGTTGGGGGAAACGGCTGCCAGCCTCAGCCCCTGCTTCAGCAGCGAGCTTCTACACAACCACACGGGCTGTTCCCGTGGATTGCCGGGGCCATGTCCCCCGTTATGCTGCTGAGCCCAGGTCTCTGACAGAGTTTATCGGGCTGTGTCATAAAATTAGCAAGGCTGCCAGGTCTTGCAGGATCTCCTGGGAAGTCCAGTTGGTCATGTATTAGGTGCAGAGAGCATCAGATGCTGCCTGGGATCTGCTGGAGAGAATGGGCTGGAGTCCCTCCCTTGATTTTTTGGGGTGAAGAAGCCTGGCAAATACAGACAAGTCACCCAAAGCCTGCAGAGGGCTGGCTGTGCCCTGGCATAAACTGTTGGCTGAAACTCAGCACAGGGTTTGTCTTTCTGTGTTTCAACCCCCTGTCCTGGGCCACCTGGCCCTGGCAGGCTGTAGCAGCATCTCGCTGACCTCGGGCTTTCACAGTACGGGTTTCCCCATGTGCTGGGACTGTTTAGCTCACCTCTCTTCTCCTGACTGCGTTTTTGTTAGCGTCTCAGGGAGAAAAGTGCAACATGATGGGGAAAATGTTTTAAGCTGTGCTACTTGGTTCTTACTGGCCTTAAATGCTTCTGAAGTGGTCATGTTGTGAAGTGGGACCCAGGCGGCTGCTGCTGAGGTCAGGGATCAGCTTTTTCCCTCTGTGAAAAGCCCATCATCCTCCCTTGGCCTGCAGATCTCCATCCTGCAGCTTGTGGGCTGCAGAAAATTATTACTTGCCCATTTTCAGCAGAGGTAGGTAGACTCTTTCAGTAGAAGGTGTCATTAGTTCATTTATTTTGGTTTCCTGAGGCAGATTTACAGGTCAGAAAAGACCTGGAGGCCAAATACAGAAAAATATCCCTCTTCTTTCTGTGGTTCCTGCATTAAGAACCAGAAAGATGATGGGGATTTTGGTACCGCTGTCCTGAAGGAGCTGCCAGCCCCTGGAAAGATGTTAAATCTTTCATGCCTTTTAGCTGCGGAGGTAGGAACGCTCGCTTCAGCTAGCTTAAAAGCTGGCTGCGCTGGGACTTACCTTGCTGCCACAGCTCTTGAGTTGCCAGCATCGCTGGAGCTTGCTTTCCCTTGATACCCGCCCTGAACGCCCCGTAGCAAAGCAATCCCCTTCCTCCCTCTCACTCGCTGCTGCCACTGAGAGCAGAGCGAGTTGCTTCCCCGCGCTGCTGAGAACCACCCCAGCACACGCGGCAGCGCCTTGCCGCTCTCCCCACTGCCATACCAGGCAGGGGACGGCTCGCAGCCAAGCAGGAGCATGTAGTTTTTGTGGACGCACGGGTGGAGATGGGCTAGCGTGCCTCTGGGCTGCTGGTAGCCCATCCGAGGGCACCGCGGCACTGTGGAGGCTCTGTGGGGATTGCTAACGCGAATGGCGATGATCTGTGAAATAGCTTTTGAGCTGATGCCTCTTTTCTTGGCATCACCAGTGTTTTCTGTGTTTAGTGGAGTTTAATGGCGCTTTGGGAAAAGGATGCACTGTGAGGTGTGCTGTAGCGTTTAGGCGTGGTTGTGCGGCTCTTTCTTTCTCCTGCCCCAAGATCTACTTCTTTCCTCCTGTTTCCCACGGCAAGCGCAGCACTTAGTGCAGTAGGTGTTATTCCCGGGCTTGCAGGGGAGAGCTGCTATAGCAGCTCTCTCCTGAGCTCATTTTTCTTGAGAAGGCACCATTTCAGCTCAGCAAAGAGTTTGGATTTCACAATTGCCTGTGTTTACACCGTTCCTTAAAACAGAGCTCCTGGGGCCTCCTTTCCCAACGCCCTTTTGGCTGGACTGATGCTGCGAGTCTGTCGACAGTTCACTCAGCCATGCGTGAACCAGGAGGAGCCATGTCTGTGCTAAGAGGGATCTCACCCAGAGTATCTCCTCACCCCCCGTATGTCAGCATCAGAAATGCCAAGGTGATGAGAAACACGTCCTCCTCTGCCAAGTGGTAGCAGATGTTCAGCTTCAGCGGAGGAGGAACCAGGAACATGGAGCCTCTGTGTAGCCTCGTACATTTTTGTGCTTGCTCGTGGGTGGATGCGATTGCCTCTTCCAGGAATTCCCTGATTTATGAGGGTTTCTACCATGTACTGCTTAGGATGGAAGGACGCCATCTCCTACCCAGCATGCAGATCAGAACTGGGTTGCATGAGATTTTTTGGGGGTCTGAAGCAGGAGCAAGCACTGCCACCTTCTCTGCTGTCAGGTCTCTCCCTGTGTTCAGTCACCATCTGGAAATCATAGAATCCCAGACTGGTTTGGGTTGGAAGGGACCTCAAAGCCCATCTAGTTCCACCCCCCTGCCAAGGGCAAGGACACCCTTCACTAGCCCAGGTTGCCCAAAGCCCCATCCAGCCTGGCCTTGAACACTGCCAGGGAGCCAGGGGCAGCCACAGCTTCTCTGGGCACCCTGTGCCAGGGCCTCACCGCCATCGCAGGGAAGAATTTCTTCCTAATATCTCATCTAAACCTACCCTTTCTTAGTTTAAAGCCATTACTCCTTGCCTCTGGAAATTCAAGCCCCTGCTGAAGCACGTCTTCTGCTGGAGCAGGGGACCACAGCCAGCGTTTCTGCTGTGTGCAGCTCCAGCCTTGCTGGAGCTGTGGCTGCCTGCTGGTGCCATCACGAAAGCTTTGCATCAACCTGTGTCTACACAGCCTCGGAACCTCAGTTTATTTTGGGATCCCACATCTCGTTTCTTCTCGGACCTGGAGTCCCAAATTTCTACATTAATTTAGGAGTAGCTCAGGCACTGGTAAACCTCTCTGTTCAGTGTTCGTATTTAAAAGCTATTACCTTTTCCACATTTTCTCTTCTGATCATCTTTAGAAAACTCACACGAGCCAGAAGAATGCTGCCATTAAACATCTCCAGGCTGCGCCACCAGCAGTAGGTAATGTGCTGGCTGCTGGCGATACAACCATCCCTTCTGCTCTCCTTGGCGTGCCAACTTCAGCCCCAGGAAACTGTGCTGGAATTGAATAACTGAATAACACTGCCTCTGTGCCTGTTCCTTAGCCCTGTGCGATTGGGAATGGCTCCAAGTCACTAGTGTAAACTGGAGGCAGCTGGTCCCTGCGCTGTTCAGTCTGGCTGCAGTCAGATGGGCAAGGCTTGGCCATTAAGTGCAACCGCGATATCTTTTTCAGTGGAAACCGGGACCTACCCGGTCTTGAAAATAACAGGGTCTGTGCTCATTGACCAGGGTGCTGGGACCAGTTTTGGGCTTCGAGACCTGGGTGCGTGTCCCGATCCCATCTCTCGGTGAGGTCTGGAGGTGTATCAGCCATAGCGTGCTTTGGTGTCCTGGGGCAGAAGGCGTGTGCATGGGCTGGAAGGGAGCTGTGGGGCACCCCAGACCCCTGGGGTAGGTGGTTGAGCCGTAGCCACGCGATGTGCACACCTCTGAGTTCTCTAGGGGCAGTCATCCCTTGGGCCACCGTGGACCTGTATGTGCTCTGCCCTGTGCTGCTGCCTGGATTTGTGACAAACCAGCCTTGGGAGGGAGGAGGCATGGTTGTACCCACAGCTCCAGGCTCGCTTGCGGGGCAGGGAGCAGCTCACCAGCACAGATAGGTCAAAGCTGGCCCTATCTACTCATTTTCCCATGGTTTGGGTTCTTTGTAGGACTCCTAGCTTTAGTCTCTGTCGCTGCCCAAGTAACGTGGGTGGATATATTTGACGTGAGGGTTGATCTTACTGTCATCCGCAGGAAATGGACTTGGTGGAGCACACAGGCTCTGTCCACTCCAGGCACACGCTGGTGGGTGTCCTCGACACTGACTTGTGCCTTCGTCTCCTCTCCCAGGTACAACCCGGAGTGTGCCCTCTCCCAGGTACAGCCGCTGGAGCCCTGGGGCAACACCGTTTACGGCTACGCCACGTAAGTGCACTTTGCCGTGCCCACACACGTGACACAGGACCAAATGCCAGCACAGCCATATCTCCTCGCATCCCTTCATGCGTGGTGGCTTTGGAGGCTTGAGAGAGCTTTGCTCATGTTTCCTCTGGCTCTCACCCTCCATCTCCAGCGTTTCCCATTCAGACGCTTCTTTTCTTCCTCCTGACATCCCTAGTGGCAGCCTGTGCGTCATTTACAGGTTATGTGTGAAGGTGGCATCAGCTCCTGTAATCTGCCCTTCCATGCCTGAGCCTGATGCCCAAGGCACACGTGCCACAGGCATGTCACCTGTAGCCTCCTGAGACGAAGATGAGCGTTACTGCTCCGGTGCCAGTTCCACTGGGTTTTCAACTGCCGTCGCCCACGTAGGCTGGCAAAAGAGGCTGTGCTCTCCTCTCCTGTCCCCCTCTACTGCTTTTCCCCGACCCATGCCCTTCCCACCCTCTCCCGGGCCAAAACCAAGCACTTTGCACCGTTGCGTGAGGACCTAACTCGAACTCAGCCAACGGAGTGTAGGTGGATTTGGCAAGCCCTGACACCCGCAGGGCTTTGTGGACAAGTTCTTTCTCTTGCAGGAGTGAAGATGCAGAAGCCTATGAGTTGCAGGATGGGGAGTTCAGCTCTGGGATCTTCATGAAATATCTGAAGAAACACATTCTGCAGGAGAAGAAGGTTACACACATGCTGGAGGATGTGTTAGAAGGTAAAGGAGTACTTTTAACCCAAGCTAGAAACCACTTACTTCAGTAGCAGGGTTGAGAAGAGGTATCAGCAGAAACCGAGTGGCTCTGTGCCACCCTGGCCATCCCAGCAGGGGTGAGAGTGAGGATCGGCACCTCTGATCCCCCTCCCTAAAATCCAGATTGCAGGCCGTGACCCGTACGAGCTTTTAATAACCTGGCAGTGGTACAGAGATGTTCACGTAGGGTCTGAAAGGCAGGATGATGAATAAGGAACCTGGAGTGACCCTTGTGCCTCCGAACTCTCTCCCCCAGACATCGGCCGGGATCCCTTGGTCACTGGGAAGCAGGTGATGGAGATCAAACACACTCTGAAGGAAGCCCGGTCCCTGACGGACCCGATCTGCCCCTCAGGAGCAGCTGCCGAGCACTGGGGACGCGGCCACGGTGAGCTGTGCAGGGCGCAGGGAGGGCTACCAGGTGGGGAGGAGGAGAGGGCCAGTGGTCCCTGTGCCCCTCAGGGACACCAGTCTGCAGGGGGGTGTTGGTGTGACACACCGAGGAGCCGAGGGCCACCTGATGCTGACCCCACTGGGCTTTCCCTTCCAGAGCCGCTGAGCAAAACGATGACCTTCCCCTGCGGGGTGCAGGTGGAGCTCTGCTTCCGCCGGCTCTTCTCCAACGTGATGTACGTGTGCGCCAAGCTGCAACCCCCCCCGGCCCATGTCGCTGACGCCCATCTCCGGCTCTGCCGGCCCACCGTGAGTCCTCTGGCAGAGATGCTGGTCCCCTTCCCCTCAATCCCCACCGGGCTTCTTTCCCTGGGGCAGAGTTGGGAGGGTGGCTGTGGTGAGCCCGAGGGGTCCCAAGGGCTGGAAAAGGCTGAAGCCACGTGGAAAGGGATCCCCTTCTCTGCTACCACTGATGCAAATAATCCTCTCTGCAAACAGCTCTTTGAGTGTTCCATGTATCAGGCTGCCTGCCTTGTTCCTAATGCATCACAAAATAGATTTGGTGCCGGTTTTGATGCCTTTAACCGGTTACTCCTCAGATTGATTTCTGGCCTGCCTGATTAAATTATTGCATTTAATCTGATTGAGATGAAGAGTTTTTCTGTTTCCTGTGTTTGGAACCAGATCTGCCTTTTTGAATGATGCTGCCTTAGCCCGCTGTGCTAATATATCTTAATGCAACAATGTATTCTCCTGTATCCTTCCCGGTTGAGCCATACCAGCTTCCTTGCACCCTTTCTCACACCTTTCCTAACAGACCGTGTGCCCAATGTCGTCTTTTCTGGTGGTCTCCGTGCCACCTGTAAGGATTTAATTTGCTGCTCCTTTTTGCTAACCATCTTCCTCATTTTCTGTAGTCCTTTTGCTGAAGCGTAACGCAAACTGTGGTGGATTTTTCAGCCCTTGTTGCTCACGGAGGGATGCTGCCCCTAAGGACGTTGTGGCCACTGGTGCAGAGTGGTGCGTCCAGCGGGAGGTTTGGAGCCTGATCCTGCCCGTTACCAAGCCGGAGCATCGTTTCCCCTCGTGAGCTCCCTAACCACGCATGAAAATCGTGTGTGTGTCTGCATGTGTTTGTGTGCATCCACCCCACATCAGCGATTGTGGGGAAAGGGGGACCCAGCTGCTCGCTCCTGCGCTGGGAGCTGGTTCAGGAGGGATTGGGGAGACCAAAAAGGGACCCCAGTAGAGCCAGGGTGGTAGGATCCCCATCTGTGTCCTGCTCCGCAGCGGTGCTAGCTCACACTGACCTCCAGTGGCGTCTGCTGACGTGGCAGCACGTCCTGCCACTGGATTGCTGTTCATCTGCCCCACCTTAGCCATCCACAGCGGGGCCACCCGCTCTCACCTGCGGGACCGCAGAGAGACGCACGGGTGTCTGCGGGAGGGCACCTGGCTCGTCTCAGGATCTGGAGCCTCTCGGGATCTCGGGATCTGAGGATGCTGGGTGCGTCCTCACCGTGCCAGCCCTCCTCAGGGATGCTGAGGGGAGCCGGGGGACCAACTGAGGCACAGTTGCATTGCTGAGATGCAGGAGCTGGAAGCTGAGGGCCAGCAAACACAGGCTTGATGTGAGATGCATGTTGTAAGCCCTGGGGAATGAACCCAAGGAGCCCTTTGGTTGAGGAAATGGTAGTTTTCCCACCATTTGCCACATTCTGCTTATCAAAGTGACTTAAGCAGAGAACCTGGGCTTGCTGTAGGGCTTGCTAGAGATAATCATGATGGGATTGATCCATTTTCTTTAGTTGTCCAGTGGTGGTGTTCTCTCCCATGTCTTGCTAGGCTTGCATTTTTACTTGACAAGCACTGTCTTCAGAGAGGCTGCTCAAGGACATGTGTAGAAAGGAATGATGCTGAGAGCTAAGATATTCCCTTTTTTTTGCTCTGTGCTGTTTAAATGCTTATTTTTTTTAAACATTTATGTTGGATCTCCTTGTTTTCAAGTCACTTGATGAGCTATTTGACTTAATGCCCCCTCCAGTCACTCTTTCTCCAATTTATTTAGAATACCTGAAACTCTGGGCCAGCCAAAACTCTAGCCTTGCCAATTCCTGGGCATCATCTTCATTAAAAAATGCATTCCACCATGGGGAAATGTTTTTAAATAATGATGAATGGGCTAAAAAAATTAATTTAGAAAATCCTTTTCTCCATTTCCTGACTCCTACACAGCCAGAAATGACAAAGGAGACTAATGGAAGGAAATACTTGCCTGCGTGCACTGTAATTAGATTGTGGAAGTCGTTGGGGCAGGAGGCTATCGAGGCTGGGAATTTAGCAGAGTGCAGATACTTGTGGTTAACGAGTTGCTGTCAGTCGAGGGGCTTTGAATTTCATGTGTCAGGGCTTTAATTGATCCCTCAAGATTAGGTCGCTCCTTACCCAGGTGAATGTCTTGAAGGTCACCAGGCTGGACAGCTGTGTTCCTGTGGGACATGGCCCTGGAGAGAGGAGAGCTGGTGGATTTTCAAGGATCCTGATGAACAGGGAGTCAAGCAAAGGCAGCAGGAGGGCTACAGAGACGTGCTGGGGGCTCCTAACAGAGCTCACACATGAAAAGGGGGTGTGCAAGAGGTGGAAGCAAGGGCAGGTGACGTAGGAGGACTATAGAGACATGGTTCAAGCGCATAGGGATGGGGTTAGGAAAGCCAGAGCCCATCTGGAACTGAATCTGGTGGCAACAAGAAGGGCTTCTACAAGTATATCAGCAGCAAAGGGAAAGCAAGAGGAAATATGGACCCACTGCTAAATGGGGCAGGGTCCCTGGTGACACAGGGCATGGAAAAGGCCGAGGTAGTCGATGCCTTCTTCACCTTGTCTTTACTGGTCAGACCAGCCTTCAGGACTCCCAGACCCCTGAGACCAGGGGAAAGGTCTGGAGCAAGGCAGACCTTGACCCCGTGGAGGAGGATCAGGTCAGGGAGCACTTAAACAAACTGGACGTTCACAAATCCATGGGACCTGATGGAGTGCACCCACGAGTGCTGAGGGAGCAGGCGATGAGACCGCGAGGCCTCTCTCCATCAGCTCATGGAGGTCTTCCTGAGGCCTGGAAGAAAGCCAGTGTCACTCCTGCCTTCCAGAAAGGCAAGAGCAAAGATCTGGGGAGCTGCAGGCTGGTCAACCTCGCCTTGATCCCTGGGAAGGTGATGGAGCAAATAATCCCTGAAGCCATTTCCAAACACAACAAGAACAAGAAGATGACCGGGAGCAGTCAGCATAGGTTACATAGGGGAAGCCATGCTTGATAACCCGATAGCCTTCTGCCTCAAAGTGACTAACTCAGTGGATGAGGGGTATTGTTTATCTCGATTTAGCAAGGCTTTTGACACTCTCTCCTGTAACATACTCGTAGACAAGCTGATGAGATAACAGACTAGATAAGTAGATGGTGGAGTGGATTGAAAAACTGGCTGAACTGCCCAGCTCAAAAGGTTGTGATCAACAGCATGAAGTCCAGCTGGAGGCCACTAATGGGGAGCCCCATGCATCAGTACTGGGACCAATCCTGTCTAACATCTTCATTAGTGATCTGGATAATGGGGAGAGTGCATCCTCAGCAAGTTTGCTGCTGACACAAAACTGGGAAGAGTGGCTGATACAACAGAGGGTCATGCTGACATCCAGTGGGACCTGGACAGGCTGGAGGAATGGGCCAACAGGACCTTACAAAGTTCAGCAAGGGGAAGTGCAAAGTCCTGCACCTGAGAAGGAATCACCCCACATACTGGTATAGCTGGTGGTTGACAGGCTGGTAGTCAACTTGGCAGAAAAGGCCCTCAGGGTCCTGGTGGATACCGGGTTGACCATGAGCCAGCAACGTGCCCTCGCAGCAAAGATGACAAATGGTCTTGGGCTGAATTAGGAGGAGATACAAGTTCCTGCATGTGGGCAGGGGTAAGCAGTAGTGTAAGCATGGGATGGAAAACAACTGGCATACCAGTTCTGGTCAAAGTCCGCAATAGCTAGTGCAGCAAAAACAGGGCAGAAACTGTGCCAAGGTTGTCAACAAGAGCTCCGAGATTTGTGTGAGATCCTCTCTGGCTCTCCTCACTGTGGCTGAGGCGTTAGCACTGGGTCCAGCTGTAGGTCTATGCTTCACGGGAAAAAGTGTGCCAACTAAAGCGCATCCAAAGTAATAAAAGGAAGGAGCAAGACAATTGTGGTTTAGGCAAGAAAGGAAAAATTGGTGGATAGGGGCCTTCAAATAGATAAAAATTGTTTCCAGCATGGAAGGAAGTGATGGTTTGAATTGCAGTAAGGAAGATCCAGGTTGGATATGACATTTTCATGGTAGAAAGAGTGAATGTCTGGGAGGTGTTTTGCCTGAGAGTGTTGCAGAATCACCACCCATGTGGATCCCTTAGAGCATCTGGACACGCATCTGTCAGGCATGATGTGCGTCACCAAATCTCTGTGTTCTGGGCCACGCGATGCCTGTGGTCCCTTCTCCTGTAGGGTCCATATCCTGGTGGTGAGGGCTCTAACCTCAGGAACAGGGCACAGGATCAACCTCACATGGTGTTGAATCCAAAATCATTTAATGATGCAGTCATTTAATGAGTTAATCTCTTGGGTTGCTGGGAGATCCTCCCTGCGTGGGTGCTGAAGGGACTTCGGGCATTTCCCCCCAGTGCTGAGCACTTGCTCTGTCCCTACAGGATGCTCCCAGGCCTGTGCCAGAAAGAAACAGCACATCTATTTTGGATGTTCCATGCTCAGGACTGGCTTCATCCCACTCGGGGAGGCTGTGTGGTTTACCCCATCCAAACTTCCTGATGCTGCTTGGCTTTTCCATGAGCTGTGGTTTAACTTGTGATGGAATATTGTTATACTTGTGCCAGTCACATCTGTAGTACACAGGTTTCTTAGGCAGAAAAAAGGGGTGGCCCAACCTCAGGGGCTCAAAATTGCCAAGCAACAAACAGATGTTTGGGAGAAGAGTCCAGTGCATTAGCAGAGATTGGAGCATCCCTGCCCTGCTAGCATAAACCCAACCACAATGTTAATCGCTGAAGATTCACAGTGTCTGCAAAGGATGCTAACAGAATTGCAAAAGCACTTGGAGGTCATCTGATCCGGAGGCACATCCGTGCCTGCAAGGAGACAAAAGGGAGGGTGGCCCAACCCCAGCTCCCACAGGCTGATGGATCCCCGGAGTAGCCACTCCGGGTCACAGGAGTAGGGATGCTCCAGGGGAAGGCAGGACTGCACAAGTCAAAGGAGATGTGTGGAAACAGCAACGAGGCGATTACAGAGAAGGTTGGAGGAGAGTGTGGCATCATCAGATATGGGGAAGAGAGAGGACTAGTGGTGGGGTGACTATGAGGAAGACTTCTGGCCGTGGACCATTTTCCTCCTAGTGATTAGGATGTCATGGGTATTACAAGTCTAGCAGTGCTCAAAAATAACTTTGACACCTCCATAAGAGTCCATACAGGCTATTGAAAGCACAGACACCACCTTTGGCTTGGAAAGTTGCTGACTTTCCCATCACAGGAGGCTGGCGGGGTGGGCTCACCTTGGGCAGGGCTGGCGACATGCACGTCCTGACCTTCAGCATGTGCTGGAGGATGGAGCTGGCTGGACGCAGTAGCGACACTCCTCTCCTTTTTGCTGTCCTCCTGCCAAAGCGCTGTGTTAGCTGGCGTCCAGGCTGATCTGCGCGATGTTTCTCTCTTTGGTCTCCAGGTTTAGTTTAACCTGGCTGCTGGGCTCAGCATAGCAGTGATGGCATCAGGGTAGCTGGGAGCAGGTACCGGATGCAATGAGCCAGGGAAGGAGAGGGCAGGAGAGGGCAGTGTTCATTTGCAGAATGCTCTGTGTTGCAGCCTGTCTCCTGTTTCAGGCACAGTTCAGGCTGGTGGAAGGAACAAGGACAAGGGTCCCTGAGCAGGAGAGCTGCTCCATCCCCCTGTGAGCTCTGTCCTCCCCTTGTTGGCACACCCATCTCCCTTTCTGCCGGCTCCATTCACTGCCTCCAGTTTATCTTTCCAGTAATGAGTTGCCAAGTGCGGAGATGGGATTTGGCTTTGCTTTGTGCAGAGGATAAATGGTATTTCTTCAGCCTGCCTCCAGTGGACCTACTGGACCAGCGATGGTGTTCACTCCTGTTCTGTCAGCCTTGCAAGCGGGGGTGACCTTGATGCCTGCAGATTCCAGCCAGCATTTGGGATCCAACATTTTAGCTTCTACCCCCATATTCTCCTGGCCAGAAATGAATTGCTTTGGCCACTTGTAGGCAGCAGTTCAGGGAAGGTCTGTAAAGGCTAGCAAGAGCTCCCAGGGCTTCTCTAACCTCTGCCTCCCTGCAGTGTCCTAACAGCCGCCTCTATCACCCAGCGCAACTTCTCCTGCCAACGATGACAAAGTTTTGCAAGGGTCGGACCCTCCTTATGTGCCACCAGCTTTATGTGTGGCTGCGGTGAGCCCACGTGGGCTGCTCCACTCCTGTGGCCAAAGCCAGGCCAGCACATTCTAGCGTTGGCCAAGGCAGGTCAGCAGGACGGGCCATGGTAGCCGCCGGAGCCAGCTGGCAGAGGGAAGCGTCTTTGCATGGAAGGGGCTGGTGGGCTCTGGGCTGTCACCCATCCTAGAGGGCTCAAATCCAAAGCAAGATGCTATTTCATAATGCACGTGTTCCCCGTCTGTTCTTGTGCTATTCGCAACTCCAAGATAAGACTGTTACTGAAGAGGATCTCATAGAGATGGAGCCATTTTGGATAAGTTTGTGTAATTGAGCAAGAATTAACAGTTCTTGAGATGGTGGGGGGCACGACTCAGAGCTTCCTCTAGCCATGCCCTTGGAAAACTTGCTCTCTCCTTGACACACCACTTATACTACAGGTGGTTGTGAAATCAGGTGTTGCTGCTATCTACACTGCTGGAAGTCCCATTATACCACAGTTTTCCTGGTAGTCGCCCTCAGGGGATGTTCAGCTAGGTCTTCCCATTGATATGCACAAGGCGGGTGTGTAAAATCTGTGTATTTCTGTTGCTTGCGCTCTGTAGTACTTCCATTAGGGTACGCAGCGTTTCCACCAGCCAATTTGTCCAAGGCACAGGGCACTGCTGTGTGCAGAAGCAGCACATCTGGTGGGCAGCTGCACATCCATGCCTGGGCTGATACTGAAATTTCTTTGCTTTTCCTGTTGTTTTCCTGACCCAGGAGATGGACGATGTGGCCGTCCTGAAGGAGAGCTGCCTGGACCAAGTGGAGTCTCTGCTCACCTCTGTGTACAAGCAGGAGGAGCTGGACTGCGTCTTCCAGCTCTGCGGACTGCAGAAAATTCAGGTAGAGAACTGTTGGGTGCAAATCTCCACAGTTCTCCTGCAGCCTCACGTAACTGGCACTCCCCATTCCCTCTGGCTTGAGCTGGATGTGCCCTTCTGTGTGTCTCGTGACTCCATGCGGACAGCGCATGTGTCAGGGTAACATCCAGATGGATGTTAGAGCAGCTCGTTGATCTCCAAGGCACAAAAGCCAGCGTCTTTCTCTTGGTTCGCTCTGTCCTTCCATGCTGCCACGGAGGCTGTGCTTTGCCTGTGTCAGCCTGGGGGAGATGAGACTAGCCCAAATATTTCAGCTGAAGGATGTCTCACTAGTCTCTGTGCTTACCTGAGAGATGGGCTCCTGGGCTGGCCAGGATCTCGAGCAGCGGGAGGCTTCATCCCCTGCCATCAGGGTGACGCTACCAAGCCTGATCCAGGCTGCGCCGCTTTGGCACACTTCAAAAGACTCTTAAACTATTTAAAGACCACAAGAGAGGCAAAATTGCTAGTCCCCTCACTTGTCTCTGCTTTTATCTCTCCCCAGCAGATTACCTCTCCCCAAATAGCAGTGTGCACCTTGGTTCTCATTTGATTTTTTTTTTTTCCTCTAACACCCTGCCAGTGGATCTTGCCAGCTGCTTCTCTGCTCTGCTCCACGCAGGCTCACACCGAACGTTGCTCTCAAGCTGCTGCCTGGATCTGCCCACAGTGAGCTCCATTTGCTGAGTGCATGACGTGCCTCGGCATATGGCAGCTCTTTCAGTCCTTGATTGTTTCTGGAGCTCTTTTCAGAACCCTTTCCAAGCATTCGGCATTGCTTTTAAGTGCAGACGTGGGACCTGGACCCTGCACTGCCTGCCAAAATCTTCTTCTTGCTCCATTATACATCTCCCTACTTCATACAGCCAGGCGTCTCAGGCACAGCCCCATGCTAGGGATTCACCTTCAGGGATTTGGCTGCCATGAATATGGTTATTTTCTGATTTCTTCACCATCTTTTATAAAAAATCCAAAATAGTGCTAGACTGCAAATAGGCCCCTGTGGTAAAACTGTTGGCTTTTACTGTGCGATGTGTGTTTTATTTAAGGGGTTCATATTCCTACCCTTGCATGCTTTCCTCTTGCAAATGCAGCAGTCCTGTGCCGTGGCCAGGACGGATGTCGTGGTGTTCCTCGCGTGGGTGCAGCTTGCCTGGGTGCAGTCCCTGTCCCCTCCTGCTCCCCTGTGCCGGCATCCTGGGGGTGATGCTGTTGGTGACAGTGCCCTGACTGTGCTGGTGAGGTCTCCAGTGAGGTTGCCTGATGTCAGGAGAAGTCCTGATATTGAGAAACTGTGGCTCAGGCCCAAAAATGCCATGAGCGTATGTAACAGGTCATTTTCTTTGGCAGCAGCATTGCTCCATCACGCCACAGCATGGGGCTGTGAGCCTGCAGAACAGCCAGCCAAGTCTGTCGTGTTTGTTGACAGCGGCAACAGTGAAAAAGCTCTGTTTCAAGTCTTAGTGTCCGATTCACTTTGCGTCCTTTGCTCTCCCCTTCCAGACGGATGTGATCCTGCAGTTGGATTTGCATTACACCCAGCTGAGCACCAAGCAGAGGACTTGCGAAAGCCTGCAGACAACCCTCCAGAAATCTGTACTAGGGCAGTTTTTCAGCCAGAGGAATTACTCCCAGCCAAACTACCAGAGAACTCCTGCCTGCGCAGGCAGCACGTGCCTGCAGGATGCGTCGGCGCTGAGCACGGACCCGAAGGGGCAAGCATCTCTGAGGACAGGCTCTGGCCACAGCTTGCCCAGCAGCGTCCCCTCCCACTCCAGCAGTGAGCCGGAGGAGAACGACGAGAGTGACCTGAGCGAGCTCTGCTCAGCGCTGCTCCGGGCTGGCCCGGGGCAGGACTACCCCTGACCCCCGTGGGCTGGCGTGCCCAGCCTTGGGAACTGCTGGTTTTAATAGAGGCAACAGTTATTTGAGTGCTAAGTACATCAGAATCCGTCAGTTGCTTTCCAGCCTCGACAATCACCCTGTCCAAATGAGGCCAAGGCTGCTTTTTTGGAAAGGATTCTCCCATCCGCGCCCTGCGGCGTGTGGGGCCTGAAGCCCACTGGAAATAACTCTCGTCCCGCGGGAGCAGCCAGGATCAGCAAGGAGTCGTTGTCGTGTCTGGCAGAGGCTGGGGCCACCCGACAAGTCATAACATTTCCAGACAAAACCCAACATCACTTAAAGTCAAGGACACTGGCTGATGTTTTTTGCGAATTAGGCTTTGCCTGAAAGCAAATGTTACAGCATTAAAGGTGTTAAGAAACCCATAAACACTACAGACCCGTCCTACGGCAGCGGCACAACCTCGAAACACAACGACAACTGCTGACTCTCATCGCTCTTATGCAAGGGACACAAGGCTTGAACAAAGATAAAACTCTGTGAATGTATAAGCTCTCCCCTGGGGTCACAATGTGCTTTTCTTTCCTTGTGAGTCCTGCCTGTGTCAAAGCAGGTTTTAAGTTATGCATTTATATTATTTCTAAAGAATGTATTTATACTTGGGGCAAGACAATTGCTTGCCAGGTGTTGTGGTTTAACCCCAGCTGGCAGCTAAGCACCACTCAGCCGTTCGCTCACTCCCCAACCACAGTGGGATGGGGGAGAGAATCGGAAAAAAAAAAAAAGGGGGGGGGGGGAAAACTCGTGGGGTGAGATAAAGAACGGCCAAACGGGATTGAGATAAAGACAGGCTAATAGGACAGAAAAGGAAGTAATAATAATGATAAAAGAATATAAAAAACAAGTGATGCACAGCACAATTTCTCACCACCCAGAGCAGATGCTCAGCTAGTTCCTGAGCTACACCGCCTCCTGGCCAACCCCCCCAGTTATATACGGAGCATGACATCATATGGTATGGAATATCCCTTTGGTCAGTTTGGGTCAGCTGTCCTGGCTGTGTCCCCTCCCAGCTTCTTAGGCACCACCGCCTTCTCATTGGCAGGCCAGTATAAGAAGCTGAAAAGCCCTTGACTGCTTGGCAACAACTAAAACATCAGTGTGTTGTCGACGTTATTCTCATCCTAAATCAAAAACACAGCACTGTACCAGCTGCTAGGAAGAAAATTAAATCTATCCCAGCTGAAACCAGGACACCAGGAAAAGGAACGTCAGATGTTCCATCAAGTGTGCGTTTACAACGAAGGCTGATTTTCCATCAGCTGCAGCCACCAGGTAGCTATGTTTCCACATGCCCCTTCTGGCATGGTACACAGGGGCATTAGAGTCTGTTCAGTCCTGTGCAATCCTGAGTTCCTCTCAGATGTAGAATTTCCTGCATGTGGGAGATGGAAAAGACCAAGATGGAGGAGGAAGAACCTCCAAAAAGTCATTATTAGTACAAATTTTATTTCTAAGTGCCTGTCTCTATGCATTCACTGTGGGTGACCTCAAGCACTACCTTTCATGGAGAACCTGCTGTCCAGAGGGAGCCAGAGGTGAGCGGGGCCCAAAGGACCACCTGAGTGGGTGCAGTCCCCTCCCTGCCTGCTTCTCTGATACTTGTGTGATAAAGGTTTCAGCGTAGCTCCAGATGATTGCTCAGCAAGGACCAATGACCCCAATGAGGTGTGGGATCTCCATCCTTGGAGACTGTTCACCCCAGACTGAAGAAGGTGCTGATGAACTGATCCAAGCTGTCGGGGTGCTGGACCAGAGACAGCTGGAGGTCCTTTCTGGCTGTTGTAGTGCTATGAAAGAAAGAACCTGGAGATCAAAAACTTCTTGAGAGGTCAAGGATGGTAGGGTGGAGAGGGTGGCCAAGCTCTGTCTTCTGTCTTGGTCTAAAAGAGGGACGGAGGAGAGCATTTTCTAAGTTTCAGTTCTCCTTCATCAGTGAAGATACTTGCATCTCTGTCTACAGTGTCTGTTACAGCATGGAAGAATATGAAGTGCTCCTTCCAGATAAACCATCCTACAAGTGCCGGAAAGCTGTCCAAAGAGAACAGAGGAGGCTTTTATACTCCTCACAGTGAGTAGAGCCAAGCGAAAGAAGAGAGGCCCCATCTGGGTGAAGTCTAGAAAGTCTCCTAGGGAAAAATGTAAAGCTCAAAAAAAAAAAAAAAAAAAAGAATTTACAGGGTTTAGTTTAAATATGGACTGATAGAGAAGCTAAACCAGAAAATAATAAACTAATTGAAGGGAGAACCAAAGATCATCTCAACACCAGCAGAAACTTAAGACAGGTTGGTGGGAATGGCTGGGCAGGAGGAGCTGGGAGTCCCATTGCCTCTGCGGGGGTGATGAGGAGGAGGGTCCTCCTGTGCTGTTGGGGCAAAGCATGTTTCTGGTTCACATAATCAAGGCAAATGTCATCTCATGTGAATGTTAATCTCATTCCAAGCGAGGCTGTTTATTTTTTCTGAATAAAACACTATTGGTGTTTTTGAATGCATAAAGCCTCATGTGGCTCTGAGTTAACTGTCTTTATTTTTCCCTCTAATTGCCAGGGGCTGACCTAATATTGACCTACTGGTTTTTATGCTTTGAACTCTAGCTTCTAAGCTCTTCTGTGTGAGGACTGTTTCTTTTTTTAGGCAACTGCATATCAAAGTTTGGATTTAGAAGGTGGATCAAATGACTCTAGATAGAGTGACATTAATGCCAGGTGAAATGTGTAGATCAAACATCAGGATCCATTGTGAACTATCCATCAGTAACATGAAGTGCAGCCCTCGGGGGGCTGGGTCAGGCTTAGGAGGCCTCCTGTCCCAGTGCCAACCACAGGACTTGTCCCTGTCACCAGCTCTCCTGCTCCTTCCAGGCAACACTGCAGCCAAGGCGAGGGCTACCACCACGTTTCCTCGCACCTCAGTCAGCAGCGTGTTATAACCGAGAACACAAGTGCTTGCAAAGCTGAATTGCAAAGGTGGAGTTTGATTGCGTCCTGCGCCCCTGGCCATGACAGCATCCTACCCTCCCACCAGCTGGGTGCGTTGTAGGAGGGGGTGGAGCTGTGTCTGCCTTCACCCCCCTACCTTACACGCGAAATCCAAACTCCCCCATGGCAGTTTAACTGTTCTGTGCCAGTAAATTTTCCCTTAAATCCGTGGTTCCATCTCCCAACGTGGGGGATGGACAACTCATCCAAGATTACTGTGCTTCTCTTGACCACATCCTTCCCCATCTGCAGCCGTAATCCTTGGGCTCCGTAAGCTCCCCGTGGCCAGAACGCAGGGTGGGAAGGAAGGAGCACGCACCGCCATGCAATGGACCAGCATTTCATATTCTGCTCACGGATTGCCCCTGACCAAGCAGTCCCAACAGCCTTTGCCCACTCAGTACTTAATTTCTCTCCTCATTGCTGCTCCTTCCACCCATTGCCTCCTGGACAATGCTGCTTGTCCCTCACTTCTTGCTGCTGCATCTCTCTGGCTTGCCCTGTGCCGCAGCACTGACCCTGCAGGGAGCAGCCATTCTTCCTACTACTTCCCTTTCTCGCCTGATGACGTATATCCCATCCATCTTGCTGTGTCGTTTCAGGTTACCCCTCCATCCCCATCCATTTTGAGTAGATTTCCATGACTTTGCATAGGTTTTCTGAGGTAGCAGGTGATATCTCCAAACTTCAAACCCTGGAAATTTGATGCTATCCCATTGCATCTCTTTGCAGGGTCATAGCCTGGACAGATCCTATGGCTGGGCAGTGCGGACGGGCTCCCCTGTGTCCAGCCTTCGTACTAACTTTAGTAAGAAAACCAGTCCATTACTTAGTTTGGTTCTCCCAGAAGGACTACAAGACCCATTTAAGGCTAGGACTCCTTCATTAGATGCACAACCGCAGGCAAAATCCGACCAAGAAATCAGCTCCAATTTACATTCCCTCTCTGCCTCCATACCTTCACTTACACATTCGTAACCACAGCCATTGCCCTCTGCTTCCCACGGTTTCTGGGCCAGTCTGTGCCCAGAGGCTACAAACAGCCACTCGGCAGTTAGAAGCATTTATGTCATTAATACAGCTGCTTTCCCTTCACCCAGGTCTGCTGTGTTTTCTTTGAGAAGCATGAAGCTTTAAAACATTCATTAATGTCTGATGAAAACAGCACCACGTAAATGTTCAATAATTTTATTTTTAGATAGATGCCCTGTTTTTCCTGTTGGCTAATGCAGGTGTGTTGAAGGGAAGGACCTTGGTCAACAGCCTGATGTCCTCTTCTTCTGCTACAGAGTTCATTTCGGATGCAGTTCTGACGTGGTTTAGCCCCAGCCGGTAGCTAAGTGCCACACGCCGCTCGCTCACCCCTCCCCCGGAGGGATGGGGAGGAGAACGGAAAAACAACGGCAAAGCCTCCAGGGTTGGGATAAGGGGAGTTTGCTGGGACAGCAAGGGAAAGGGAAACAATCAACAACAGTGCTGATAACAGATAGTAACAATGGGTGATAACAGAGAACGATTTACCGACAACCGACCAACCGGATGCTCGACCCGTCCTGTCCTGGAGCCACACCGACACCCAAGACACCCAAACTCACCCCTGCCCCACCAGCCCCCTTTTATGGGTCACATGGTATGGAATAGCTCCCGGCCAGCTTGGCTCACCTGTCCTGGCTCCTTGGGAAATTAACTCTATCCTTGCCAGACCAGGACAAGTTCTCAGCTGATGTTTGGCAGTTCCTGACAAAACAGGGCAAGCGCGCCCAAAAGGAGTGAGAAAACAAGGCAGCGAAAATCAGGGAAATGCCATTTCTGTCTGGTTTATTTAGTTTCTGGAAAATCACTGGCCCAGCACACGGTAGAGAAGTGCACTGGCATATATGTCCAAACCTGACACGCTTCTGTTGGCAGCAGATTCCTTAAGGTTTATTCTCAGTTGGCTTTTTTTGTGACCAAAGCAAGGAAAGGGTAGATCTGTCCCAGA